ATAAACACGTTTAGATTGAATGGTAATTTATAATCAGTCACAAGAACGTCGAATCTGAATCACTTGAAAAAAACACGGGGGTGCTTAACTTTTTTCCAGGTATATATATATTGTTATGAAATTTAAGCTATTTAGACTAAACATTTGTGTTATAATTTGTAGTCATTCTGGAAAGAAAAAAGGATAATTTATATTTATATCTTAATATGGTTACAAAATCGGTCAAACTGACCAAACTCATACAGAGATTTGTTAGTGAAAATAACAGATAAAATAAAAGCATTTTTTCTTAAGAAACATTTGATAATTGTCTGTATGTTATACAAATTTTGCATATGAAATTTGAAAATTTTCTGATGCAAAAGAGTATTTTTAACCTTAAAATCAAAATTACTTTGCATGTTGGATAGTCAACATGCAGAAAGAAAAAAGGCATGAGAAAAACCTTACTTAAAAAAATCTTAAAACTTTATAAAAATATTTGATATTTAGTGTACAAAAGCCTTGTAAGGTTTACTGATAATCTGCAAAATTTTGTGAGGATACACTTTCTTGGGCTGCTCTTTTACAACGAATAGTGGGATCAATCATCACATTATAATGCTTCCACAGCTGAAAGGGCGAGCATGTTTTGATGGGACGGGGATTCAAACCAACAACCTTCAGATTGCAAGTCAAGTGCCCTAACCATTTGGCCATGCTGGGCCCGATATCAAGAGTTAGATATTATCTAAATTATTATTATTATCATGCCTGCAGCAAATCAGAGATAAAATAAAATATAGTGTGTATAAGTAATTGACCAAACTTCCAAAACTTAGACTTAGATAATAGTTTTGTTTTGAGTTTACTTACTGATTAAGTATATTTTTAAACAACTTACAACTTTACAGTGAGTAAGATTTGTTTTTAGAACAGTTATGACGTTTCAATCATAATCTAAGTTTTATATTTATTCATATTTTGTTTGTTTTGTTTAGCCATAGATAAATAATCTGTAAAATTCATGCAGATTGATATGTACACGAATAAGTAACCACTATCAATTCTAGAATTTAAATATATAGTTAGATTGTTGATTTTAGTACCAAAACGTTCTTTACCATTAAAACTTGTGTACTTGAGAATAATCATACCAGTGATTGAAACGTTGTACCTGTTCTGAAAACAAATCTCACTTACTGTAAATTTTAATAAAGTAGACTTGAGTAGTTTATGATACTCAAGTAACTTACCCTATGACATGAATCAGTCATTAAAATGTGCAACATAATAAAACCTATGACAATTTTAATACGACTGTATTGTCTTTTTGCAGCAGTCTCATGAAATTAAGAAAAACACAGCAAAATTAACAACAATAGTAATAGGGTAACAGTAGTTTTGTGTTATGAGAATTAATATCACCATACAAATCTTTTAATTAAACTTGCAAAATATGAAGGATAGTTAGTTTCTTTTCATGTAGTGATAACAGATACTTAAAAAACTGACTTGTTTGAAGAACATATAAAAAAACGTGGCTATGAGTGGACTGCAATTTTTCCAATTGCTTGAAAGCTTCTGTCAATTCAGCATAATATTCTATTCTTCACTTGTAACATATATTGATTTCTTTTGTTACTTATAATCTTACCAAAAGTCTAAAATGTTCTCACATACAGAACATGCTATTATTTGAGCACTTTTTATAAACTAAAGGCATATCAAAAGGTACCTGTAACGACTCAATCCTTTCCTCCAAGTCTGCCAGAGAACTAGGTTGGTTAAATTGGTTTGTTGTCACTGAAAGGTTGTTGAGTTTCATTCTCAGCTTTTCTAATTCCTTCATTACTTTCTGTTCCTGGGGTTGATGTTTGAGTAACTGATAACGGAACTTCTTCCACTGTTTTACATGACCTAAGCAAGTACAAAAATAAAAAATAACAAGCAAACTTTAATAGGCCTGTTATCCAATATCATATGTACATGGCAGTAAGTTATATGCTAACCTTTAACTTACATGTTTAAATAACCAATATTTATATTATGGCAATGAAAGTAATAGTTCTATGATAAAAAAAAGTTATTTAAAAATATCTAAATTTTGCATACAAAACATTACACATTTAAAGGCATGAACAAAACTTGCTCATGATATAGTCACAAATATTAGTGTTCTCCATAATTCAACCTAATAAGTTGAAAAACACAGCAAAGTTTAAACTTGCTTAATTGATTTAAAATAAAACCTAAAATATCAGAGGTTGCCTATTTTTGACAAAACAGACATACATCTTAAAAAACCAACTCATAATGATGCTAGGCATTACACTATTGAAACTTGATGAATGGTAGTTTTTAATGTCATGAACTGAATGTATGTAATTCAATTACATACTCAAAAAAATGACCAAGTTGAAGAACATTTATTTTCTATCTGTTTTTAAACTAAAGTAAAAACTGTGTCAGTCTTACCTTTCAGTCGCTCAAGATCATCAGGAGGAAGCATGTGATAGTGATGACTACTAGCATCCATGTTTTCTTCTATCTCACGCAGAGATCTGAGATAAGTCTGGCAAGTGACTATCAGCTCGGACTATTAGAGCAGATAAATTTGACATAAATTCAGTCAAAATTAAATAACTTCACTGAAATTGCTTACCTAAAACATTGGTGTATAAAATACCTTATAACAACATTTGAATTTATAGATTAAATCACTAAGAGTAGATAATATTAAAGTGTAGCTTAAAAATATGTTATACTGCAATTTGGACTATGCATATTTAAATGATGATCATATCTATAAAAAAATAAAATGATTTAAGTCTAACATTTCTGAATATTTATTATTTTACAAAATAGTTTCATTAGATTCTCAAAATTAAATTAAGATATCTTACTTAGATTGATTTAAAGCTCCAATAATTGATATCTTTTCAGGAGCAGTGGAACACGTGTTCTTCTTAAAAAGTGCTGAGTAAGTCCAGTGAAATGAAAGTATTCTCTTATTATAATTTCTATCTTTACACATCCCCAAAAAATTTAGGGTCACTTTTTCTTTCATTTTTCCCATTTTGAATTCTTTTTTATATTTTCTTATACATATTTTTTAATATTTTACTTGTTTATAATGTTCCAAAAGAATTTTTAGTCATATTATATTTCTTGTTGTGTATCTTTGTTCTAAACAGATCAGTACTCTAGTGTAATTTTCTTGCACTGTCAGCCATAGATAAATCTAATTTATTGTTTATGCTCAAACTAAATATAAGCAGTATACATTAAAATCATATTGCAAATAGAATGGAACTATGCATGATTTACAGGGTTTTACCAGCAACTTGAGGAATTAAACCTTGGACATTTCATATTTACATACATACATACATAGAAACATTTCACAATTTATGATCTGGTATAAAAAAAAAAAAGCTTTAGTGCAAGAAATAAGGATTATATCTGGCTATGAGAGGAACAAATAAATCTCTGTTTAATAGTGTAGCCATATCATACCAACATAAAGAAAACTACATGATTCAAGCATTTAAATATTATTATGTTTTCAATGCCTCTTTTTACAAATTGGTGAAGCATGATAATAATTATATTTGTCATAAGACATTAGTATTAGGCCTATTATATTTTTTAAACAGTACAATCTTTGTCTAGTCCATTAGGTATTTTCATTAATTAGAAGAGTGTATAATAGTATTCCAACAACACTAGCTGGCTGTGATACAACAAACACAGTAGTAGTTGGAACACTACTTATATATGCCATTTGTTACAATAACAATTGCTATGGTGTATCTCAGCCAGCCTGAAGAGCTCTGAATTGAATGAAATGTGCCATCGGGAAGTGATATGGCAAATATAGTGTGGTTGGAATACTATTACACACTTCTAATTTTTGTATATGCCTAATGGACTAGATGAAGAATATAGTGTTTAAAAATATAATAGGTCTAATAATTAATGTGTTATTACCACTATAATCTAAACTTTATGTTAAACTAAATACCATTCTTCAAGACAAAGTTACAAGATTAATTGGTATGGTTTATATATTAAACCTGGTGAAGTAGAAAATGGTTATTAACATACTATCATAAATTTTTTCATGACAAGTTTTACAAAGTTATTTTTCGTTTTTGAGATGGTGTAGTTTTCTGATACTGATAAATAACTTTCTGACAACCAAACAGTATCTGTTTGTACTCACAAATTGTGCATCTGGAATAGAAGAATCCTTTAAGGTACAGCACTGGAAATGTTTGCTTGAGATATTCAGGGCCTTTTCACTTTCTTCTAAAATGTGATGGAAGTCATCTATGTCAGAGTCAGATTCCATGTCTACAGGTGGAAAGCTCTCCAGTGATAAAGTATTACTGCTTAGCTACAGAAAGTATTCCGATCATAAAATTTATATAATTAGCAAAGACATTCAAATAAAAAAAATCAACAATGTAAATTTTCTAATATAGACACCAAAGTAATAAAAATAAACTATAAACTTTTAAAAAATTTATTCCATTCAAGATTAACTCTCACTTTTCTCTCATTCATAACTATTATACATATAAAAAACAATTTTTTTACTAAATTATATAAACTTAAAATATTTCTCTAAAGCACTACTTACACACTGATGTGATGATCTTGGGATCAACTTTGTTTGGCTGTGGGTCATGATTTCACTCCTGGAAGAACTGTCTGACTGGCAACCCAGAAAAGCATGGTAGTCATCTCCATAACCTTCCAGCTTTTTTATAGCATCCTCAGCATTGGACTCAGAGTAGGGCTCACTTAGATATTCAGGTTCCTATAGTCATTAGAATAATTTAGATGAAAGTCTAGCAAAAATGAAACTGCATATCTTCAACACAAGTTTAACAGCAAAAGTGGATCAAAATACACAGATAGATAAAAGTATTTTAATGTGTAAACTGTTTCATAAAAGAGAACAATCGGTTGCAAGCAGTATTCATACTAACCAGGAAACAATCAATATTACAAAGGCTGAGTAACAAGATAAGTTAAATATTTTCATGTTAAGGATAATGTCTTCCTCTGTCCTTTATTAATTTTTATATTTTTACAATTGCTTTCTACATTTAGCAAAACATCAAACTTAACCTCTGAACACATTAGTTCAATAGCCTACAGGGATTACAACCAAGCTGTCCAACAATGAAGAACACAAGTACAGAACATATATACAGTAACATTCCAATTAATGACCAAGATATGTGTATCTTTTATCTTAACTTTTCCTCATATTAAAACAGCAATGTGGTGACATGTCGAAAAGGTAAAACATTTAAATTATACTATCGAGTTAATATTACATTAACAAATTAAATAAACAAAGTGTAGACATTTTTTGTTCAACCTTTTATTTATCAGCTTTCTATTATTTCAAACTATTAGATACAATACATTGAACAATGTGATTGTTAAGGCTGACAAAATGAAATACTTCTTTGATTATAAGGTTCATGCAAATATTAATTCAAAACAAAATATTTCAGTCTGTTTAATTAGTTGCAACACAAGGTGCATATACCCTTTTGTTCTTTAGGTTGTAAACATTACTTGACTTTAGTTAATAAAACTGAAATTAAATGAGAGCAGTACATATATACTATATGAGAATGGACTTCTGAGCTAATAAAACCAATCCATAGCTCCCCCAATAAAAACATTTTAAGAACAACATTGAGCGATATTCCCCACCATCTGTAACAAGGCTGGTGATAACTAATATCACTTATCCAAGTAATCAGCTGGTCAGGGTATATGTTTTGTTACCTGAAAAGCCACTATACATCCTGAAAAAGTTACACACGAATAATTAGATGCAAAAATAAAACAATATGTAATTGAGTTTGACATTTAACAAATTCTTTCATTTCTTTACCACTTACAGACCAGCATTCAAATAAGTCATTACTGTAATGATAGCAAGCAATACAGACCAATAATCTTTCTCAAAATCACATACCTGAAAATTATCCCATACTTGATCTGACTGAGAACCCTGATCTTCAGTTGGAATGTTCCGAAGGCTTACTTCACTTTCACAGAATTTCAGCTGTTCTTCATCTTGATTGGTGGTAAGGGAACTGTCAGAGTCCATGTTACTCAGGATGAGGCCAGCACAAGCATAAATCTATGGAAGATTAAAATATATATTATTTATCAGAAATGACTGCATCTACAGCAGTAAATGTTTAGCAGTATTGCTGTTTAAATAAGGTACATTTATTATCATAAATACAATAATTAAAAAACAACTACAACAAGTATATCTGGCACATAAACAAATATAAAGAAAAATATTTGAAAATATAACATACATCATTGTAACAAAATGTGATTTAGATGCTCATAAAAAATAATTTATATATATATATATATATATATTGAATTGTAAATCAATCTGTCTAAAGGAGCAAAATTTATACGATCAGACTTTGTTTTAATTTCAGTGGTTAGTAAGTAGGCATGCACCATAATTCTCACGATTCTCCCATTTAAATATAAACCTTTCATATTACACCAGAAGATGACCAAAGACTGAAATGGGTTGTCCAGTTATCTTAATAAAACAAATATTCTGTTCCATTTCTAAACATTATTCTATGACTGTCATTTAAATACTGCTGAAATAACTGGCTTCTTTTTACTCTGTTGCATTTTCTTTTAAGCCATTTGCATAAAATGCACTGATTTGCCAAAGAAACACCTTGTAATGATGTACCAATTAGTCAGATCAGTTATCCTACTTGCTAAATTAATTAACAGAACTGACCTTTTCATAACTTGCTGCTCTATACAATTTGAATACACGTCCACCTCCCCAAATAAAATACGAGTTATTTACCCAAGTTATGCAATTTATTTATTTTTAGACACTCTTGGGCATGAACTAGTACTGTTATGATGAGTTGTCTGGGGAAGTAAAATTGAAGATGGTGCAACTTCCAGTGTTAATACCTAACTATCACAAAGTCTTGAAATCTTAAAACACAATAATTCATGAATGAAAAAACTATATATGGACTGTCTTGATGGTCAAACTTTTGTCTCCCATCAATCCATCTGTTGGAAAAATCTAAACTACTACATTACCTCATTAGAACAATTAATAATTTAAAGCAAAACACTATACCTTTATTGATAATGGTCTGTAATTAGAATGTACTGTACTATAAATCTACTACTGTTGCTAAAATTACACTATTTTATTGGTTCATTGTCTAAATAAAATTAAAAAAAAGCTCAAATGCTTAACCATATCCATAATAATAGGTGGCAATTATAATATATCAATCAGCATTGTAGCTGATTAGGACAATTGCCAATCAGTTACTAATTAAAAGGAACACCTCTAAGTATCTTATAGTGAAAGTTAAAACAAATTGTAAAACTTTGTATTAAACACAAGATTATTGAAACTTGTTAACCCAATAACTGCTGATTTGCCGTATAGGGTACAGTCTGACTCTGAATGCGAGTGTGCAGTATACGGTGTACAGCTAAAAAAATTCCAAGTGCATTTAAAGCAGCCAAAGTCAAAGGATTAATTTCAAAATGAGAATAGGGATAATTCAGTGGAGTCAAAATAGGGATTTGGAGCTTGAGTACATATTGTTTACAGTATCTCCAGCCTTGTATACTTACCTTGTTTACTATCCCTATTTGCTAGGTTTTTAAATTGCCAATTATTTTATTTATCTTGTATCTCAAACCTCAAGCTTGTTTTTTTACTTTCTTTGCAACTGCATTTTCACTTTAAAGCTAGATATCTTGTTTCTGTATTTTCTTTCAATACCTATTCCAATTGTTAAATTAATAATTTTTAATAATCTTATTTTTTTATGTCCATCACAAACATAAATCTGTATAATACCAATACTGCCCTATTTGAAACAGTTCAGTTTAATGAAATATGTACTTGGTGTATGATGCTCTGTCAGGAAACAATGACAACCTTTGGATTAGATTCATGCAGGTTGGATGGCTATTACTCCTGATATCATTGCCACAATGCTATCTTTAATAGTGTTACTATATGTATTATCATTATGATGCATGTTGATCAATGTACCAAATTATGTATACGCTTGTAAAATATATATAGCTACTATATTTATACCCTGTAGCTATATGGGGAGTCTGTAAACACTGGATTGGAAGGACCAATGAACTATACCAGAATGGTGTATGGACTGGATTTTGTAACTGCATGAGTTTTATACATGTATTGCATATTGGCTAGTATTTATATATATACATACAGGCTTTATAGTTGAAGTTGTAAAGGTGTATATATAGATAGCCATATGAATTTTTGAAGTTGTATAGATGCATGCATATATATTTAATGCAAATATAAGAAAATGTGTGATAATATAATATCATGCACACAAATAAGCATTTTAAATATTCCTTATAGTTATTACATTTCCCCCCTTCCACTTCCTCCTCTCTGCTGGCCATAGTAAAGTCAATGACGATTTTGGTGAAGCTTGCAGATTTCCTCTTAGAGTGACATTCTGCACACTATAAAAGGTCAAAAACGTGTTAATTAACACTTATGAATTGATTAAATTACTATACCCCTCCCCTCCATTTCTGATGGAGTTTGACACTTCTATGATCCTCTGGTGGGCCGTCACTGCTGCATAATTTATCTGAAACAAATTATTTTCTGAATAAAATAAATATCTACAAAATTTCTGCAACACTTTTGCCTATAATCGCCATCTCCTGCTTGCATGATTTTTGTCACTCCTTATAGTCAGCTTCAATTATCGTTATTCTATCTGCATTATCTATAAAATTCAAAATCAGGCAGTGTGGGCTATAATTCGACACTTAGGATCAGCAATCACTGTGACTGCCAATATGATTCTTGAAACCGAGCTTGATGCTATCCTTTAAACTATGGCTTAAAGATACCTGTCACAGGAGACTAGCTGATACGGTTCATGTTGATTAACTGTAGCTACTGGCTACTTGATCACATTAGTTCGAGATGTAAAAGTTTAAGTTGCAGCTAGAGGTTATCATGGAGATTTGTTTGAGAATATAGTAAGTATTTATAGTTTCTGTGTAACTAAATTCTCTACATATAATGCATAGCAATGGGAATATATATATATGCCTAGACTAAAATGCAACCTCCACTAAGCATGTATAAAATTTTACCAGTATAAAAGCAGCCTTTTCAAATAAAACGTATACATCTGAAACACCACTTTAAATAAACCTTTGTGCCTTTTAAAGTAATTATTCTATAAATGTGTGTAATAAAATTCAATATTATGTGTGTTTTATTTTTTACTCCTTCACTTTATACATAATATAGAGGTTGACTCCCTAGAGACAATGACTGTATAGTGTACAAAGCATTGAGTATCTACATGTTACAGTTATCTAATGTTAATCTATTATTGTTTCACCCTGTACTTATGCTTCTTAGAGGAACTCCAGATATTTACACTAGAATTGTGGTTTTTTTAGTTCATGAAAAGTAAAGAAATAACTTAAAAAGCACCCTACACAATGTGCAACAATCCATTTAGTAATAATGTTGAAGTTTTGTTGTGGGCTGGCAGAATAATAATATAAAGAGGAACAAATGGGTGATCCCTATTATGAACCACTACCATGGTTCATGATAGGAAATTGTACAAATTATTATAATAATAATAGTCCCTTAAGTTCAGAGAAGTCAAAGCTTTCAACAAAAGGTAATACATACTTGTTTCAGTTCTGAGCTTGATGACCCACTACCAGCTTTAGATGACTTAGAAGTTTTAGAGGAATACGAAGATCGCCGACGACAGTTTGAAGAGTTCCTAAATTTGTTATGACTACTTTCACACCTATTACTATTCTGGCTAGTGGACTTTTGTTGTCGACTGCTATGAAAGCAGGAACTTCCACTTCCTGCATGTTTTGAACTGGGTGAGAAGCTATCTGACCCTGAATCAGATTGGTGAAATATGGGGGAAGAACTATCCCAATTGTGGTGTTGGTGTTTTCTTTTACTTAATGGTGTGTGCTCTTCATCTACTGATCTAAACAACAGAGAAAGGGTTATTTTATGATAATAATATCAGAATAAAAAAACAAAAACAACATCATTTATAATAGCATCTATAAAGTTATGTTGTGAAAACTCAAAACCATTTTTTGTCTAGTATACTGTTAATAATAAAATACAATCAGAATTGTGAACTGAGTTGCTTAAGACGTGGGTTAAAGAAATCAATATTACTATAACAAAAGCACACACACACACACACACACACACACATATATATATATATATATATATATATATA